ACCTCCCACTCTCTCCCTATTTATTTCAAAACCCCCTTCCCCTCCCCCTTTTCTGATGAAGGGTCTAGGCCCGAAACGTCAGCCTCTCTGCTCGGCCTGCTGTGTTCATCCAGCCCTGCACCTTGCCAGTGGAACACTGCTGGTCACAGGCCTCCAGTTCGAAAAGCAACCCTCCACAACCATCCTGTGTCTGCTACTGTCAAGCCAATTTTGTATCCAATTGGAAGCTCACCCTGAATCCCATGCGATCTAATTTTACTATTAGTCTATCATGCGGAACCTTGTCAAAGGCTTTACTAAAGTCCATGTAAACAATGTCTACTGCTCTGCCCTCATCAATCTATTTGATTACTTCCTCAAAAAACTCAATCAAGTTTGTGAGACATGGTTTCCCGTTCACAAAACCATGCAGACTATTCCTAATCATTCCTTGCCTCCCCAAATGCATGTAAATCCTATGTATCAGAATCTACTCCAACAACATACCCCCCAGCAAAGTCAGACCTATAGGTTCCAGGCTTCTCCTTACAACTTTTCTTAGACAAAGTTGAGACCATGGAGCGTTTTGAAAACAGAGACAAAAACAATGTAGGTCTGAAAGGACAGGGCAAGAGATGAATGGGGCTTGGGTCACAGGCAGAGTGTTTTGGGATGGCCTCAATATACAGAGGTAACAAAAGACATGGAGAAGGCTTTCAAGAAGCAGATGAGTTGAAGCAGGCTGAAGTCAGGTGGCATTACAGAGGAGGGAATACTCTTGCTAAAAGCAAAGCTCATCATTCAGATAAATATGACACCAAGGTAGTGAAGAGTCTGCTTCATTTTCAGAACTTTACCAGGGACAGGCGTGGACTCAGTGGATTGGGAGAGAAATGTGTGTCAGGGATTGAGGACAATAGCTTCAGTCTTCCCAATATTTAATGGAAGTGAAGATCATTCTCATTCACGGGAGGAGATTCCATGCTGACAACATGTTTGACCATTTAGGTTATTCAGGTTTCTTGGATTTGTTAAACATGACCTGGAATAACATCATGTTTCGTACAACATGTTGCCTTTGTTGTGTGCTTCTTTCCGGCACAATTTCTAAAGGGAGCTCTTTTCTCGGTAAGATACCTGTAAAAGGTAATAAGAACAAGTGCATTGACCCCCAGACTTGTTTCCATTGCCTAAGTAAAATTCTTCCACGGATTCCTAAGTGTTTTCTTGTTTTGGTCCTTTCCTGTTTTGAATCCTGGACCTAGAGGATTACATGGCTGTGGGGAGAGAGAGGAAAGTATCCAATACAGTGCTCCTGGCATCTTATTATGCAACTGACCTGATGGTGCAAGCTGGTGTTTTAAAAAAAGATAGTAAATATTCCAAATTTAACTGCCCCCAAACCCGTACATGACCCTGCCTCAAGTCAGGAATCCTCCACAAATTGCCTCCTTTTGGGACACCAATCTTTCTCCATCCACCTCGAGATTCTCAGGAAAAGTGAAAAGGAACAATAAAGCCCAGAAGGCTGTACAGGGGTTAACAATGCCCCATGGATGTGGAGCCATATATGGTCACAGCAGGCCGAGTGGAGCAGTGGCTAATGTCCTGTAGGGAATGAAACACATTAATGAACTAGTTGGGTTTTTAAGACTAGAATTTGGCAGTTTTTGTTAACAAGATTCAAATCTTGATTTTAATATCTGTCTGCCAGTCTATGAAACGAGTTAGATATGCATCAAGTATGTGACCAAACACCTCCATAGGAACAATGCTTAGAGAAACACAGCATAGTTAGAAGACCAGTCAAAATGGTCTTATGAAAGGAAACTTCTGTTTGACAAGTTTATTGGAGTTTTTGAGGACATAACTGGTATGGTAGATAAAGGAAACCAGCAGACGTGGTATACCTAGCTTTCCAAAAGGCATTCAGTATGCTGCATAAGTGTTAATAGACACAATAAGAGCTCATAGAATGGTGGGGGGAGTAATATATTAGGATAGAGAGAGGATTGGTTAACAGAGAGGGCATTTTCAAGTTGGCTGGCAGGGAGTAGTGGAGTGCCACAAGAATCAGTGCTGGGGCCTCCGCTATTTACAATCAATATTAATAATGAAGAGACAGAGCAGTGTATCTACATTTGCTGATGATACAAAGCTAGATGGAAAAGTAATCTTTGGGGAGGATGCAGAGAGGTTGCAAAAAGACATACACAGATTAGTGAGTGGACAACAAAGCAACAGATGGAGTAACATGTGGGATCTGTAAATCATTCTGTTTAGTGACTAAGAATAGAAAAGCAGAATTTTTTTCAAAACAGTGTGAAACTTGTAAATATTGATGTTCAAAGAAACTTGGCTGTGCTGTTGCAAGGTATTTGGAAAATCAGCATGCAGGTTTAGCAAGCAATTAGGAAGGCAAGTGGTATGTTGCAAGGGGACTGGAGAAAAGGGATAAAACAAAAGTCTTATTACAATTGTGATAGCAAGAACTGCAGATGCTGGAGTCAGAGATAACAGTGTGGAGCTGGAGGAATACAGCAGGCCAGGCAGCATCAGAGGAACAGGAAAGCTGACGTTTCGGGTCAGGACCCTTTTATCATTTCTGAATTCTGATGCCGCCTGGCCTGCTGTGTTCCTCCAACTCTACAATTTGTTATGTCTTATTACAATTGTACCGTTTTGGTGAGACCTCATTTGGAGTATTGTGTTGTCTCTGCATTTAAAAGATATTCTTGCATTGGAGGCAGTGCACTGCCTAAGGTTCACTAAAACTAGACCCTGGGATGAGGGGCTTGTCCTATGACAAAAGATGGAGTAAACTGGATCTATATTCTCTGGATTTTAAAAGAATGAGTGGTGATCTCATTGAAACATGCAGGATTCTGAACAGCCTCAGCAGAATGGATACTGAGAGATTGTTTCTACTGGCTGGGGAGTCTAAAATACAGGACATGGTCTCAGGGTGAGGGATCAATCACTTCAGATTGAGGAGGAGAGAAATTTCTTCTCTCAAAGAGTTGTGAATCTTTGGAATTCTCTGCCACAGAGGATTGTGGAATCTCCATCATTTAAGGCTGGGATAGTCAGATGTTTGAGACAACAAGGTGCAGGGCTGAATGAACACAGCAGGCCAAGCAGCATCATAGGAGCAGAGAGGCTGACGTTTCGGGCCTAGACCCTTCATCAGAAAAGGGGGAGGGGAAGGGGGTTTTGAAATAAATAGGGAGAGAGTGGGAGGCGGATAGAAGATGGATAGAGGAGAGGATAGGTGGAGAGGAAACAAACAGGTCGAAGAGGCGGGGATGGAGCCAGTAAAGGTGAGTGTAGGTGGGGAGTTAGGAAAGGGATAGGTCAGTCCAGGGAGGACGGACAGGTCAAGGGGGCGGGATGAGGTTGGTCGGTAGGAGATGGAGGTGCGGCTTGAGATGGGAGGAGGGGATAGGTGGGAGGAAGAACAGGTTAGGGAGGCAGGGACGAGCTGGACTGGTTTTGGGATGCGGTAGGGGGAGGGGAGATTTTGAAACTTGTGAAATCCACATTGATACCATTGGGCTGCAGGGTTCCCAAGCGGAATTGTTCCCCAGGGAATTAAGTGATTTGTGGAGTGGGAGAATGGAGGTCAGATCAGCTACAACCACAGAATTTCAGAGCAGACTCAATAGGGTACACACCCTCTCATTTTTTGTGTTTGTTCTCACTCTGACCTGGAGAAATAAAGTTAATGTGACTGACAGCATCTTTCTGGTCCTGTGTGAAGAGGTGAAGAGATGTTCACTTCTTTCTAGTCTGCAAACAGCTTATTAACAGGCAAAGGAAACATCCAAGAAGTTGAAATAGAAAGAGATTATTCAGCCCATTAGACCTTCTCCTCCAATCAACTTAGCTCTATGTCCCTTTGATGACCTTACTGCGCCCCAAAAAACCTAATTAAAGACAAAGATCTGGGCTTAGCAACATGCCCTGTGTGTGCGTGCATTTGCTGGAGTCAATGTAGAGGAGGTTTTAATCTGTAACTAACCTTGTGCTGTACCTGTCCTGGAAGTGTAAGATAAGGACATTGTAGTGAGAGCTTTACTCTGTATTTAGCCCCGTACCGTCCCTGTTGCAAGAGCGTTTTATTGAGACTGTGTCGAGGGCACTTTACTTTCCTTTTACTTCTAGTTTAACAGAGGGCAATCTACATTCAGTTTAAACGAGTAGACAGATCTTTACTTTCCGTTTAAAAGACAATAGAGAGTTTTACTCCATCTAACCCTGTACTGTACCTGTGCTTGGAGTTTTTGGAGACAACGTAGAGAGGGCTTTGCTCTGTATCTAATCTTGTGTAGTCGTATTCAAAGATCACAATGAAGTTAGTTTGAGGAAACTATTTTTACCTCAATGTTCCCACCAACGCGTGCCAGTAAGGGTGGGAGGGGTTTGTCTCTTTCGGACTTAAGCTGCCTCCGCGACTGTCTTCTCCCAGCTGGAAAAGACAACATTCAGGATTGAGCGTTCTGGACCAACACAGCTCTCAATTCCAATTCCCAAATGAGAAAGGAGCCCTCACCTTCAGGCTTCTCCTCAAAGTCTTCATCTTCATCTTCTGACCCGACAGAGTACTCAGACTGATTGTCTGAGAGGTCATCTTGCCACTCTGGAAAAGACAGATCAGGAGGATGGGTGGGAGTAGGAACACACAAAATGGGAGTATGGGCAAAAGCCAACTGGCCCATCGAGCCTGTCCTATACCACCACAATGCAACTGAGCATCTTGGCACCCAGCCTTTCTTGCCTACAGCCACATAACCTACTGAGGTAAAATTAAATTAAAGCAAAGTGAGGATTTAAAAACCTTTGGAAAAATTCACTTTGGCCTAGTGACCATGATGGGAAGAACTTGCATTACTTCAACATCTTTCACGGCGTTGGAACGTTCCAAAATGCTTCACAGCCAATGAAGCTCTTTTTGAAGGATAATTATTACTGAAGTGTAGCAATTTGCGCACAGTAAGATCCCAGAGACAGCAACAGGATATCAATAGTAATGTCTGTTTTACTTATGTTGTTTGAGAGATGTATATTGGCCAGAACATAGGAGGGGGAAGAAAATTATATTATTTGTTAACAACATGCCACAGGATATTTTAAGCCCACCTGACAGAACAGAAAGGACCTTGATTTACAATCGCCTGGAAGATAACAATGCTGACAGTACAACACTCCCTCTGTACTGCGTTCAGAGTGCAAGCAATGGCAATAGGCTCAAGTCACTGGACAGCAGCTTGAACTCATGACCACCTGACCCATAGACAAGACTGTGATCCACTGACAAAATTGGTATATTGTCTGACGCCCTCCCAGCATTTCGTAAACCGAGAAACTGTCTGTCTGTTGGATCTCTCCCAATCTCTACTCAAATAATTGCAGCAAATCACACTTGGTCCACTCATTCCAGAACCTTTATGTAATCAGCTTTTAACAAAGTCCTCTGGCAGTGTCCGCTTTTCTCAAATTCATCATCAGCTTTCTGTACACATCAGATAAACTAAAGGCCTTTAAACTAGGTATCAGTCTGATTGCTATTCCCTGACCCTGTTGCATGTGTGCAGAGCAATGATGCACACACATCACAAACATGTTTTTTTTTTTTTTTAAAAAACTTTGCTGGTTTAAAGGAGTTCAGATCCTACTCCTGCTGGAAGATGAGAAATTATCTGTGAAGTAGCTGATACCTGGACAATGGTTGGGAAGCCAGAACGTTCAGGTAATGAGTAGATCAGCTACTCTGGCCAACACATTTCATCCTCAGCTTCTAACAAATGGGCTGAACTCACTCAGAACGGCCAAACAGGCAACAAAGTTCACACCAATACGTCCAGGCTGTGCACAGCAAGGGAACCAAAGGACCCTTTTCCAGATAGTCTTCTTGGAATAAGGTAGTGCTGCTGGATGGGTTTGGGCCCTGATTCCAAGGAATCCAACCCCAGAAGTGGCAAATGCTTCAAGGAAAGGGAGTGGATTTCCAAATGTCCAATGGCGCGATGTAACATATCCAAACTCACCCCATCCCCACCACCCCTGCCAGCAGTGTGGGGCCACAGAACAATTTCACAAATCTTTAGTCCAGCGGTGATGATGGAGCAAGAAGCCAACCACTGAATTGACTATAGAAGGGAAGGGAACGAACTCACAAAGACAAGAAAACAAACTGGTTTCTAACCCAATGTGTCCCACGCCCACCCCCTCCATTTTTCAGACATTTCTTTTGTGAAGGTAAATACCTTGGTCCTCTTGCGAAGCATCATTGTAGTTGACTTGTTTACGAATGCGTTTGCCTTTACCCAGGTTCCTGGCAAGATCCTCTTGTTGCTGCTCATAATGATGGCGGAGAAGCTTTTCCCAGTAATCAGGGTCCACATTCTCTTCCTGTTTAATGATCTCTCTCTCAACTTCCTCCTAAGCAATTCAAGACCATCAACAGATCAACTGTGTTCAAAGGAAATCGTCCACAAGGGTCAATTTAAAGCAAAGAACTTAAAACAGAACCTACAACATAAATAAATGTCGTCTGCTAATTCAGCACCAAAGCAAGGGCTCTTTCCTGAGATGTATCTCAGGGAAAAGCAAATAAGGACCTAGGAGCTGTTTTTGTCAAAATGTTACAAAGTAAAACATTGTTCAACAAAAGTTAACAAGTCTTACACTATAAGAGTTACTGAACTTCTAACAATCTCTAGATCACCCCTCGGCCTCTGACATTCCAGGGAGAAAAGCCCTGGACCAGTTGTACCAAACCTAAACTAGCAATTCAATATATTTCCTGAGGATCCAGATCAGCCCAGATTCTGCCTGTCTCTCATTCACCTCCCCTAACCTTGGCACCGTTCGAACAATATTACTTGGTCTTTAGCCACTTGAGAGGTTCTACAATCCACAAATGTTAATTGGCCCAATAACTGGAAAGTAAGCATAACTTATAAATCAGACCATTCTTTGCCATGAATTCTACCCTCTCCTCTCCAAACAACCCACGCTTCCTTTTCCTTTATTCTGCCCAATCTCGAACCCTTCAACACTCGAGCTAGGGCTTTTCTCTTTAGAACGAAGGATGAGAGGTGACTTGATAGAGGTGTACAAAATGATCAGAGGTATAGATAGAGTGGACAGCCAGAGATTTTTTCCTAGGGTGGAGGTAGCTATTACGAGGGGGCATAGTTTTAAAGTGAGTGGAGGTAGATATAGGGGAGACATCAGAGGTAGGTTCTTTACTCAGAGAGTGGTAGGGGCGTGGAATGCATTGCCAGAGGGGGTAGTGGAGTCAGCCTCATTAGGGGCATTTAAGCAGCAATTAGATAGGCATATGGATGATAGTATAAGGTAGGGGTGGAGGTTAGATAGACCTTAGGTTTGGGGTAAAGTTCAGGACAACATCGTGGGCCGAAGGGTCTGTACTGTTCTATGTTCTAACACCATTCACACCAAGCAAAAGGTAGAGACATGGTAGTGGGGATAGATTCTGGAACCTGCTAATGCTCTAACGCTGGAAACCTTGCTGCCCAATAGACAGATCCTGCTCTGCTGCTAGTTTCTTTATAAACCGCTTTGTCTCCGAAACTGAAAGGTCTGAAGGTGGATAAATCATGTGGACCAGATGGACTACACCCCAGAGTTCTGAAGGAGATAGCTGAAGAGATAGTGGAGGCGTTAGTGGTGATCGCTCAGGAATCACTAGAGTCAGGGAAAGTCCCAGAGGACTGGAAAAATCACTAACATGACACTCCTGTTTAAGAAGGGAGTGAGGCAAAAGACTGAAAATTACAGGTCGATTAGCCTGACCTCGGTCGTTGGTAAGATTTTAGAGTCCATTGTGAAAGATCAGATTTCTGAATGCTTGGAAGTGCATGGTAAAATAGGGCAAGGTCAGCATGGCTTCATCAAGGGGAGGTCATGTCTGACAAACCTGCTAGAATTCTTTGAGGAGGTAATGAGCAGCTTAGATCAAGGAGAGCCAATGGATGTTATCTACCTGGGCTTTCAGAAGGGTTTTGACAAGGTGCCGCACAGGAGGCTGCTGAGCAAGATAAGGGCCCATGGTGTTAGAGGCAAGGTGCTAGCATGGATAGAAGATTGGCTGCCTGGCAGAAAGCAGAGAGTGGAGATAAAGGGGTCCTTCTGAGGATGGCAGCCGGTGACAAGTGGTGTTCCACAAGGGTCAGTGTTGGGATCACAACTTTTCACTTTATACATGAATGATCTAGATGAAGGAACTGTGGGCATTCTGGCTAAGTTTGTATCATCTGCAAAGATAGGTGGAAGGACAGCTAGTATTGAAGATGCTGCAGAAGGATTTAGACAGGTTAGGGGAGTGGGCAAAGAAGTGGCAGATGGAATACAATGTGGGAAAGTGTGAGGTCATGCACTTTGGTAGGAAGAACAGAGACATAGGCTACTTTCTAAATGGGGAGGAAATTCAGAAATCTGAAGTGCAAAGGAACTTGGGAGTCCTAGTCCAGGACTCTCTGAAGGTAAACTTGCAGGTTGAGTTGGTACGAAGGCAAATAATGTTGGCATTTATTTCAAGAGGACTAGAATATAAAAGCAGGGATGTACTTCTGAGACTTTAAAAGGATCTGGTCAGACCACATTTAGAGAATGTGAGCAATTTTGGGCCCGATACCTCAGGAAGGATGTACTGGCCCTGCAGCAGGTCCAGAGGAGGTTCACGAGAATGACCCCAGGACTGAAAGGCTTAACGTATATGTAACGTTTGAGGACTGTGGGTCTATACTCAATGCAGTTTAGAAGGATGAGGAAGGAATCTAATTGAAACTTACAGAATATTGAATGGCCTGGTCAGAGTGGATGCTGGGAAGATGTTTCCATTAGCAGGAAGACTAGGTCCTGAGGACACAGCCTTAGAGTTAAAGGGAAGACCCTTTAGAACGAAGTTGAGGAGAAACTTCTTCAGTCAGAGTGGTGAGTCTATGGAATTTACTGCCACAGAGGGCTGTGGAGGCCAGGTCATTGAGTATATTCAAGACAAAGATAGACAGGTTCTTGATTGACAAGGGGATCAAGGGATACATGGAGAAAGCAGGAGAACGAGGTTGTGAATTTAACAGCCATGATTGAATGGCAGAGCAGATTCTATGGGCCAAATAGCCTAATTTCTGCTCCTGTGTCTTATGGTCTTATTGTCTCTCCCTAGCCCCGAGGGCTTCCAGATCTGCCAGATTCGATTGCTTGCTCTAACTGCACGGAACTCTCGTGGCTTTCGAAATGTTGAAGGAAACTTGTCACCTGCTCATCCTCCTCTCGCACCACGTACTGAGCAACTTTGAAGGAGCTGAGATACTCGTTCATGTTTTGAATGTCAGCATCATCTGTGGCGTTCTGGTTACGGTCCAGCAGCTTGGAAATGGCACGGTCATCGTAGTGGATCATTCTCATCTCCTCTGCCTCCTTCTCAGCTGCAAGGTAAAGGGTAACAATCAATTCTTTGTGTTTTCTTGGTGTCGACCTTCTTTGAATGACCAAGTTATAAATTGACAGACCTCTCATAACATTGTTTGTGACTACTATATTCTTAATTATTTCTCTAGTTCAGTCACTATTTCTGCTTCTCTCCTTTTTGATAACTCTTCACGTCTCTCTTCAGTGTCTTCCATCTAAATTCTAGAGTTTCTGATTGACGTTATCAGAAATTCTATTGGAAATTTTAGATATTTAAGCTTAACCCTTCACACACACATTATATTTCTTGCATAAAATGCGTATCCATTGACATACATACTGTTACCATCCCAGCAGATGTTAATGCTGGGCAAGTCGGATCCCACACCAAAACCTGGCTTGAGAGATCAGATTTTTATTTGTTTTGGTTTTGACAAGTGGTGTCTCATTGCAACATAAGCACGCAATGCTGCAGATTTTGATTTAACAATAAAAACAGAAGTTTATACAAAAGAAATGAAGATAAAACAGAATAATCAAAACTACTTAGAATACAACTTAAAAGAATTTTAAACACAGAAGTATAATCCCAAAGCATTCCTTTACAAAATTAAATAAATAAAACAGCACCTGCATAGCAGTCAAAGCTCATCACCAGTACAGTACTCAAAACACCACTCAAACATACCACAGTCCCTTTATCTTACACATCAGTAGGTTTAAGTCACTTTTAAATGTTTAACTTTTATACTAAAATTGCAGATATCTTCTTCCTGGAGGTATCATACACCCGAGTACATGGACTCAGCCTCAAATGACCCCTTGAGGATTTTATCATAGCACATCTAGTCTGGAACTAACAGTAATTCTTCATTGTAAGGTAACCTAGTTCACTATATCTTTTCATACTGAGGAGCACTCTTCTGCACAGCCATCTTGTTCCAAGGACTTCACAGGACTGCTCTACTCCAAGTCAAAAGTGTAATGAAAAGTCCCTCTTTTTCTCTCTCAGTTACAGGCATTTCCCTTAAACTAAAACAAAAGTTCCAGAATTCTCCAACAAAACTGGAATTCCCATTATTTTGCAGAACAATCTAACTGAACAAGAGTCCATTAATTCTAAAGCTAGGCTTCAAAATTGTTCTTAAAGAAATCAGCAGAGCTACAGGTTAATTATTAATTAATAATTAACTTCAGACACACAGAAAAGCCACCAGTTACTAACTCAAACCAGAAACTCAAACTCTCAATAAATAACATTAAAAATTTTACATGTATATCCTACAGTTTACATAACAATTTATATTGATGATCAAACAGATTTATTGATAGGATTAGACAAAGTCAGAGGAGAATAGTATATATAACCTAAATCTGTTGGGCTGAATGGTTGAACACTTTTTTATTCATTCACAGGATGAGGGTGTCGCTGCTAGGCAGCATTTATTGCCCATTCCTAATTACCCAGAGGGCAGTTAAGAGTCAAACACATTGCTGTGGGTCTGGAGTCACATGTAGGCCAGACCTGGTGAGGATAGTAGTTTCCTTCCCTAAAGGACATTAGTGAACCAGATGGGCTTTTCCAACAATTGACAATGGATTCACGGCCATTGTTAGATTCTTAATTCCAGATATTTATGGAATTCACATTCCGCCACCTGTCATGGTAGGATTCGAACCTGAATGTTATCTGGATCTCTGGGTTAACAGTCCTGCGATAATACCACTAGGCCATCACCTCCCCCACTGTGATATTAATTACTAATTCTACGTAACATTCCTCTCCAAGTGGAAGAGCAAAGAATTTCAGGAACAGGAGGCCATTCAGCACCCTGAACCTGTTCCCACCACCAATCAGCCCATCACTGATCTGTGTCTCAACACCATCTATTCACTAAACCCTTACCCAACAAAACCTCTGATCATAGTCCTGAGGCTTTGAATTCTCCCATGGAATCCACGGCCTGTGGATGCTCTTCTGTTCATCTCCCTTTCTGTGACTCTCTTCCCACACTTGATTTTTTTAAAATTAGGATCGCAACAAAGGCCATCTCTCATGACAAAACAGACGCATTTGAGCACATACACCTGCATTTACTGAAAAAAAAATGCCTGAGACTTCCCTCTTTTGCCTTTACATGACCTGGTTAAAACCAAACTGGAACAGCTTGTTCTTGTAAATTCCTTTTGTAGTCATCAGAAAGTCACCTCAAGCTCTTCATTTGCAAAGAAATTACATCATAATTCCTCAACATTTCCTCAGAACTTAAATTCCACAATCTTTGTTTGTATCGCCACTCTATGTTTCCTTTTAAGGGCAACAATCTTTCTGATATCCCTTGTCTTTACATTCTAAAATTTGGATTCACACACAGCTCAGACTAAAGAGAGTTCCTTTCTTTTTTTAAAAAGCTATTTTCCCCTCCAGCATTCTCTCCTGCTCTAGCGAAGTCAGTAACACTGAGTGGGGTACTTTCCATGAGTGTTCATTCTCACGTATGGTTTGCTGTGTGTGTCATTCTAGATGGTGAGGGGGAGGCATCATAGAATCCCTACAGGGTGGAAACAGGCCCTTAGGCCCAACAAGTCCACACTGACCCTCAGAGCATCCCACCCAGACCCATCTCCCTATAACCCACCTAATCTACGCATCCCTGAATATTACAGGCAATTTAGCATGGCCAATCCACCTAGCCTGCACATCTTTGGACTGTGGGAGGAAACTGGACCACCCGGAGGAAACCCATGCAGACACGGGGAGAATGTGCAAACTCCACTCAGACAGTCACCTGAGGGTGGAATCGAACCCGGGTCCCTGGCGCTGTGAGGCAGCAGTGCTAACCACTGAGCCACCGTGCCGCCCCATCATGATTGGGACCAATCCTGCTCTTCCCCCCAAAGACAATACAATTTCCACTTGTGCTCCCTGGAGCAGGATCTCTGGCCCTAAATCAATCCCTAACACATGCCCCGAGAGTCATTAGTGCTGCCACACACGACACCAACTGAATTGTCACGTGTCAGAGAGCAACCATCCAGGTCTGTAAGGCCCATAGTATACTGGACCATGTAGTTACGACCCAAGATCAGTAGATAGTTACTCATCAAAGAAATAAGAAAATATGGAACCAAGCCACAGGTAGATGGTTATGATATGCTTGAACCAGGATCTTGTTGAATGGCATGGACAGGCTCAAAGGCTGAATGGCCTCCACCAATTTCTATCAAATGTACTAATCATGAGATAAGTCTGAATAAAGACCAGTGGTAAAGTGTCAACCATCTATGGGAGAAAAGGGGAAATTTCTCCTTGAAGTCCTTCCTGGCTCTATTATACTTGCCATCCGCACCCACCCCTCACACCAGCCCTTACTTTCTCACCTTCATCGTCCTTGAAGAGCTCCTCTGTGCCAAACTTGAGAATATCATCCAACTCCTGTTTGGAAAGTGAGCCTGACTTGGAGCCCAAGCCTGGCCGCACCACCAGGTGAGTCAACATCATCTTTTTCTTGGCCACTTGCGTAATGCGTTCCTCCACCGAAGCTCTGGTGACGAAGCGATAGATCATCACCTTTTTATTCTGGCCAATACGATGAGCTCTGCTGAAGGCCTAAAGGACAGATATTCAATTTGTTAGCTCCTCTACTCAACTTTCCCCTCATTGGGGTCTCTCACCCCCCATCTCTGCACCTTTCCAAGTCAATTAAAACAGACTGGGCTCTGGGATATCGTCAAAGCAGCCCAGAGAGATCCAATGCTCCAATCTGCCTTCCCTGTGAAGAGGTGCCTGACCTCAGTCTTGCACATCCTCTGCACTGACACGTTTTAGGAAATCAGAAACCAGAGGAAGAAAACAATCGTTCATCACTGACAGGTAAAGTGCAATGAAGATCAACTTCTCTCGTCAGGTTTCACCTTTTTTAATCTTAAAACTTCCTCAAGGTTTACGTATCACTGGCACTTATGCATGATCCCTACGTTTCCTGGAGGTGGAAGTGGTGGTGGGCCTTTTTTCTGCACAACTGACAGGCTTGTGAGGTCCTTTCAGAGGAAAATTTAATGTCATCCACATGGGGGTGGAATTGGAATCAGGTTTCCTTCCCTAAAGGATGTCAGCTGGGTTTTTTGTTAAATAGTAGCCCAATGGCTTCATTGTCACTTGTACTGACACCAGCTTTTTATTTGCTAAGTTTTAAACTAAATTACACATCATTCAACACTTGAGATCTTCAAAACCCTGCTAATTCACGGTATATGTGCGTCACTGGCTAAGCCAGCATTTATTGTCCATCCCTAGTTGCCCTTGAGGTGGTGTGGTGAGCTGCTTTCCTGAACCATTGCAGTCCATTTTGCGTAGGTAAACCCACGATGCTGAATTGGAGTGGGGGGGGGGCACGTGGGGGGGGGGGGGGGGGGGGGTGTGGATTCCTGAAATTTGCCCAGCGACACTGAAGGAACAGTGATATATTTACAACTCGGGACGGTGAATGGCTTGGAGGGGAACTTGCCACTCCTGCTATAGGACCAATTTGGTTCATGGTATCACTGAAGGACCTTTTAGCAAAAATACTTTTGGGAGACAAAGTTTCACACTGCTATGATTGCCCATTGCTAGTTGTGCGATGTTTAGAGGAAAATTGAGAATTAACCAATTACAGAGAGAGTGGGGTTCGAGTCTCACACACACCAATAGAGAATGGTATTAAGTTCCTTTCTGTCAAAGGCATCAATGAATCAATGGGATACATTCTACGCTGCTTTCAGAGTCATTTCATCTGGTATCAACCCATAGATTGCAAGGATTTCTGGACTTGAGTTTGAACACTCAATCTCTGTGTCTGCTGCAAATCCTGATGTCACAGAATCAAAATTCCACACTGCGACTTTATGGAAAGGAAGAAAGAAATTGATATCAAACAGTCCTACTCTGAAGACTTGAGGAAAGTGCATGCTCTGACCTGAATGTCGTTGTGGGGGTTCCAATCTGAATCATAGATTACAACAGTGTCTGCAGTAGCCAGGTTAATGCCCAGACCCCCAGCTCGAGTGGACAGAAGGAAACAGAATTGCTGGGCTCCAGGGGCTGCCAGGAGCAACAGAAAGAGAAAGATACGGGTTAGCATCCAGTCAATAAACCTTCAGAATCTGTACTCAATCGAAGAGACAAGGGAGATTCTTTTTAACACTTTTCTCACAGACTTTCAATATATTTTTGCTCACCAAAGGTATTAAAAGATATAGACCCATGCAGCTGGAGTTAGGATAAAAATCAGCCACGATTTTGTTAAATGGCAGAACAGACAGAGCTGAATAGGCTACTCCTATTCCTGTACATGCACTAGATAAATAACAACAGATCATCTGCTGTCATTGACATGTCCTATTGATAGGGTACCATGTGTGCTGGTTTGCTTTGGAACAATCACAGATTGCACAAGAGACCAATCAGCCTAACCTGCCCATACTGGCCCTCTCACACAACTTATCCCTTCAGTTGAATTCATGGCCTTTCCCTGTATTGAAGACAAACATTTGTAAAACTATCTCCCTTTCTCTTGCAGTTTGATGCTCCAATTCTTAACAACACATTGTATTTAAAAACTGCTCCTTTCTTTTCTGGCAATTATTCTAAATTCATCCCTTCAGTAACCACTGAGCAAACAACAAAAATATTTTTCCTCATGTTACTCATCAATATCCTTCATAAACATGAACAGTTCTTCCAGATGTCCTCAATTTTTTTTAAATGCGACCTCATTTTCTCATCTCTACAACTACTTAATGTTTCTCATGTTTGGTGTCAAATTAACAAGTTCCTTCTGCATCTCCTCTGGAACCTTGACATCATTTCCTAAAGTAAAAGAACAATAAACACAGCACAGACAAAACAGCGGCTACGGTCTCGAGCTTATGTTCTGTTACAATGGAGGAAGTTCTTTATTTCTTTATAAGCTTGGAGACTGCTCGTTTCTGAAATATTCAACAAGGTTTTTGGATGAAAGGTATATTATTGCTTTTGTAACATCCACGAGAAAGGAAGTAAAAGCTCTCTCTAACCACCAACATCAGCTCACCATTAAACCGGTCAATAGCCTCCTGCCGCTGATTGCCTGTGATGCTTCCATCGATCCGCTCATACTTGTATCCATCGTATTCCAGGAAATCTTCCAGCAGATCCAGCATTTTAGTCATCTGTCAATCACAAACAGTACTTTTACCCACAACCAAAATCAATGACACCAACCCTAACCTGCACCAAATTCTGCATTCTCCACTGTGCTCCTTGGCATAGAGACCATAAGACATAGGAGCAGAAATTAGGCCATTCAGCCCACCAAGTCTGCTCCACTGCCATTCAATCACGGCTGATAAGTCTCTCAACTCCATTCTCCCGCTTCCTCCCTGTAACTCGTGAACTCCTTGACAATCAAGAACCTAATCTATCTCCATCTTAAATATACCCAATGACCTGGCCTCCACAGCCTTCTGTGGCAGGGAATTCCATAGATTCATTACTCTCTGGCTGAAGAAATTTCTCTTTATCTCCATTCTAAAAATTCTTCCTTTTACTCTAAGGCTGTGCCCTCGAGTCCGAGTCTCTCCTACCAATGGAAGCATCTTCCCAACATCCACTCTGTCCAGGCCATTCAGTATTCTGTAAGTTTCAGTTAGATCCCCGACCTCATCCTTCTAAACCCCATCAAGTACAGACCCAGAGTCCTCAAACATTCCTCGTACGTTAAGCCTTTAATTCCTGTGATCATACTCGCGAACCTCCTCTGGACCCATTCCAGGGCCAATACATCCTTCCTGAGGTATGGGGCCCAAAATTGCTCACAATACTCTAAATGTGGTCTTACCAGATCCTTACGAAGCCTCAGAAGTGCTTTTATATTCTAGTCCTCTCGAAATCAATGCCAACATTTTATCTGCCTTCCTAACTACCAATTCAACCTACAAGTTTACCTTAAGAGAAGCCTGGGCTAGGACTCCCAAGTCCCCCAGCACTTCAGAATTCTGAATTTTCTCCCCATTTAGAAAATAGTCCATGACTCTGTTCTATCAAAGTGCATGACCTCCCACTTTCCCATGTTGTATTCCATCTGCCACTTCTCTGCCCACTCTCCTCACCTGTCTAAATCATTCTGCAGCCTCCCCGTCTCCTCAATATTACCTGTCCCTCTTTGTATTATCTGCAAACTTAGCCAGAATGCCCTCAGTTCCTCCATCTAGATCATTAATGTGTAAAGTGAAAAGTTGTGGTCCCAACACTGGTTTTCAGAATATTTGAATTTACTAACTTTGCTCAAATCCCTCCCATGTCCTTACCCCACCTTTGAAGACACTGAACTCTTATGAATTGTAATCATTGTTGTAATACAGGGAAATGTAGCAGCCTGTGATTGCAGAGCAAGAGTCCACAAAATGGCAATGAATTTTAAAAAATCAGTCAATCCATTTTGAGCCAGTGGTTGAGGATTAACTTCTGGTTAGGACACGAAGATCACCTGCCCTGCCCATTTTTCAATAATGCTGCAAGATATCTGAACCGGAGAACTGAGATGGCCGGTTTAAAAATCCTAAAATCAACATTTCCAACAGTGCAGTGCTCCCGCACACAGTTTCAGCTTGGATTATGTGGCTCTAGTTGGTGAGGGAATTGAACAGGCGTACTATCAAAATATCCAGTTAATCCACGTTTCCAGGGGCATTCACTGGACGGAAGCAGTGCTCTGGCTAAATATCCCTTTCCTCACTCAGAGAGGTGAAAACTCACTACAGTTCCCTATCCCTCAGGAAGGATGTTGAAGAAGGGGAGTCGATAAAGATCCCATTTGACATGTCAGCCTTGGTTCAATGGTTAGTTACTCAGATAATCTATTTGTGACGATGACTGAGGGTTAAGTATTGGCCAGTTCATCAGGGAGAATGTCCCTGCTGTTCCTTAAATTAGTGGTGACTCACCTCGGAGTGAAAAAGTTATGGGTCCAAGTGCCACTCCAAGACTCAAGGTTGGCACTCCCAGTGCAGCAGTGAGGAAGTGTTACTCTGTCAGAGGTGCCAATTATTGCATGAAATATTAAATCGAGTTCCGATCTACCCTCAAGGGCAGACACAAACGATCACAAAGCACTAATTCAAAGATCAGCAGAGACATTCTTCCTGATGGTGGCCAACAGTTATCACTCAATCAATATCACAAGCAGACCATCTGCTCATTGCAAACTTCCACAAACAGCCATGTGACAGAGTTTGAGTTAGCTGCCACATCTCCCACACTGCAGCAGTGCCTACTCTTCAAAAGGGACCTCACTGGCTGTAAAGCAATTTGAGACGTTAGTTACCTGAGAGAAGATCAGCACTCTGTGGCCTTGGCTGTGTAGTTTCTTCAGCATCTTCTGAAGTAGTATCAGCTTCCCAGAGGACTTCACCAGAGAGTTCCCATCATATGATCCATTTGGTAAAACCGGAGCTTCCTGTCAACACCAGTAAGGCAGCATCATGATTAATACCAGTGTCAAGTACAGTACACAGTCAGATCCCACGTACACCCACCCTCAGAACAGCTACTGGGAGAGGGCTCTTCATTCCTTTCTGAGGAGCAATAGTTCCGCAGGGATGCTCAGAAGCAGCAGTAGCCCGTAGCTGCTCTCTTGGACTAGCCTAGTGTTTATTTCCCACTGTAGATGAGGGCATTCCTCATGAACCAGCTGGTATTGACATAACTCAGTGTCCTGCTGGGACTGGTTCACATATCGGCCCAGGTCAGGTAAGGACTACAGGCTTCCTTCCAATGAATGAATGAGTTGGGGGGCTTTTGCAACTATCCAGCAGCTTCATGGTCATTTTTACTGATAATAGAACTTTATTTCTAGATGTTCAAGATCGGAGTCCAAATCTTCAAACTCCATGTCTAGATTTGATCTTATTCTCTGGATTGTTAGTCCAGTAGTCAAACTATTAGCTACATCACTCTGTGTATTACACACCAGTAGCTGCCTCAATGAAAACTGTGTCATATAATGGCCAAACTGTCCTGAATTACTGGTGGCTCTGCTCAAGACTGTGAGCTTCTCAAACACTGCACTGTGGTGCTGATAGAGAGACTATTCATGTAGTCAGTCAATCAGGTGACTGCTGGATCCAACCCAGGTCACTGGGGCATAAAAGCTCAAACTACTGCACAATCTTGTTCCTGATCTCACTCAATAGGAACTTTATAAATTGGACTCTTGTGGTGTGGTGTCGGTGAACCACAGTCAGAAGGCCCAGGTTCAAATCCCACCTGTTCCAGAGGTATGCTATAACACATCTGCACAGGTTGGTTAAAAAAAAATATACCCACAACAGAGACTACGTTTGAAGAATTACTTCACTGGCTGTGATTTGAGACATGATGACATTTCGAAAGGCATTTTGGGACTCTTGTGGTGCAGTGGGAGTATCTACCTACATCTGAGCCAGGAGGTCTGGGTTCAAATTTCACCTCCTCCAGCGGTGAGAGATAACATCTCTGAACAGGTTGATTAAAAAATAACATTGACTTGCTCACCTCTACAGACCAGGAGAGTTCTCAGTCTGCATGATGGTACCTGATCCATGTCAGAGCTGCTTGCAGGTTTCCTTTGATTAAGGAAAGGGGAAGAGAGGGATGCAGGGCTCATGCTCATGATCACTACCCAATGATTCCTACTGCCAAGTGCAGGGCAACAACAGAATTGGATAATTACAATTTGACACATACCCCTGCTGCAACCGGAAATAAATAAGGATGGTTACAACATTTCTTCAGATCCATCATGATGTTCAGCAGTGACACTTGGTTCCCACCCCCTTTCGAATTCAGAGCCTCGAAATTCTTGGTCAGGATGAACTTGTAATATTTCCTGTGAAGCCATACAAACAATAAGAACAGAACTTAAGGATGAGCCATCAGCAGAACTGGACAAAGGTTCGCTGTTAATTTTTTCACAACTTACTTCTGCATGGAGCTGAGCTCCACACGGACTATCAGCTCTGTCTTTGACGGCATGTTCTTAAAGACATCAGCCTTGAGACGCCTTAACATGTGTGGGCCCAGGAGGTCGTGAAGCTTCTTAATCTGGTCCTCCTTTGAGATGTCAGCAAACTCCTCCAAGAAGCCTTCCAAGTTGCTGTAACAAGACAGAAACAGTCATAGCTGCCACATCATTCTTCAGTGCTAGACTCAGGCTGCCTGAAGGTGCATCCAGCCCTATCTCGTTCTCAAACCAATTTCTCAGCTGGACAACTCTTTATTCAAAACTAGGATCACCGGTAGAGCCAGTCACCCATACTTTGGCTTCAATCGTACCCACACACCCTCTATTTCAGCTTCGCCCTGGGGTCTGTAACTCTTGGGCAACTGTACTGTGGTGTAACAAGGTTCCAGTGCAGCATCCCAGGGTAACAAAATAATAGTCACAGCTCATGCTGTGAGTTCACAATACAAATCAGGAGGAATGCAAAGAACCAAAAAGTGGGATTTTTCTCCTGGCTCAGGGGCAAAAAAAAAAGTCCATTATCAAAAGAAACAATTGCAGTCACATTTAAACTCCGTACAAGCATAAACCAGCTCTATGTCCATGTGCACTTTGCCTTACCTTTCATTCCATGGAAGCAGCCTTCATACTGTGTCCAAATCATGACAATCCCCTTTTCCATCCCAGCCCTCTTTCTCCATCACAGCCCTTTCTTTCTCACAGTCACAGCCACTGTCCCTCCTCTTCATTACAGTTTACTCTCTTGCTAGCCTCAATAAAGTTGCATTTTACACTCTCCGCCTCCCTCACCAAGAGGTTCCATAAACTACGGTGTGGAGTCCGTTCATCAGATCCAAACAATTCCCGAGTTAGGGAGAGGAAGGAAACCAGTAGCAGGATCAGACCTCCAAGCGGCGACCCCGAACTATGACAGTGGATCTGGATCTGGATGTATTCCACTTTCCATGAACCGGTTGCCTTGGATCACACATGAAGGATGGGTAAGGCAAGGGGCCAGAGACTCAACAACAATAGTAAAGGAGAGGAAAAACGGTTTTAGACATAGTAAGCCCAAAGTGGATGAGCATACATTTGTCTATATTTAAATCCATTGCCCTAGTTTTGCCCATTCACTTGGCGTGGAGTTTCTCTGGATTTGAATCTCTGTAATGGATAGTGTTGGGTAACAGGGTAAGACTTTGTTTTGCTGTGTCTTTGAAAATTGTTTAAATAGTGTTCCATGTTTAGATAGCTTGATTCCTTTGATTCTGTATGTTTAATATATTTCTAATGTATGTTAAAGAAAAATCTCCAGCCTTGTGTGACGATGTTTCGGGGAATAAGCACATTAATTAAATTAAAAACAAATGATTTATTAAGCAGTAGATGCCCAGTAGTACTTTCCTCTGAGATCATAATACTTCCAATAAAAGATCAGATTATCTATTTTTAAATTTGTGCAGTCCTCAACAATTGTCAAGTGTGTGTGTTTGGTCCACCCTACCAATTAGCCGACGCTCCCTCTGTACAACACGTCTCTAATGATTCAATAAATGAAAACAACATAGAATCAGGATTTCAGGATTCTAGGATTCTTAATATCCAATGTGGAGAACTGATTGTAAAATCAATTGATCAATAGTTCAGGGTCACCTTTTGGTTTAAGAAAAATGCTTATAAAAGGTATTTTGACTAAAATATTTAAGAAAAATTAATTGTCTGACTTGAGACTCAAAATAATCACCCTAGGATTACGAGACCCATTATCTACCAATTTCACTACCCAGAATGTGTGGGAACTCTCAATACAAGGCTATCACACACGGGATCTAGCTTAAGGAGGCACATTCACATAAGATCCCAGGAGATTGCAATCCGATCCCAGACTGAGATGAGGGATGAATTGCTGCCGGAAAATTACAGTGCCGTAGTGAAAAGCTACAGTGAAATTTCCATCGTAATGTTACTTGGTGGTATTACTGCTGAGTATTGAACTTATGAGTGGAATTCTGAAGGAGTGCTTACATTTCAAGTTCCACTGCTGTGGATCTCACAGCCTTTGATAGATCCAAATTCTTGACGCTAACCAGAAAGGCATCAGGAGCAGTCAGGCAAGTGCCAGAGATTACAGTGTGAGTGACTGTATATACAAAACCAACAGAATCATAGAATCTCTACAGTGTGAAGAGGTCTTTCAGCCCATTGAGTCTACACCGACCCTCCGAAGAGAACCCCACCCAGACCCATCCACTAACTCTATCCTTGTAACCTTGCATTTCCCACGGCTAATCCAGCTGGCCTGCACATCCCTGGACGCTGAACAATTTAGCAATGACCAGTCCACCTAACCTGCACATCTTTGGACTGTGGGAGGAAACCGGAGCACCCAGAGGAAACCCAGATAGAGATGGGGAGAATGTGCAAACTCCACACAGACAGTCACCCAAGGGTGTAATCGAACCCTGGTCCCTGATTCTGTGAGGCAGCAGTGCTAACCACTGAGCCAACTGACTCCTTTCCAGCCAGCAGGAGTTACACCGAAATCAAAAAACTTAGTTGTTTCACATTACCCCTTTCAAACATTGTTGAACTTGATCACACACTATTAAGAAAATGTTCACAAACTACTAGCCTGTTTACTGAAACTGTTAATGACCTACCTGCTTGGTTTCATGAGATATTATGGCAGAAAATTATACTGACCATAAGAAATTCACGACATTGCTGTTAAACCCATCCATGTGGAAGGTACTGACCTGTTTACCTCTGTGTTTATATAGTCAACTATTTCATACTTGCTAAGAGATGGGTCTATATATTAGAAAGGAATTAAGGTATTAACACAACTTACTTAAAGCGTTGAGGAGTAAGGAAGTTCAGCAAGTGGAAAAGTTCCTCCAGATTATTCTGTAGTGGTGTCCCAGTCAGCAGCAGCTTGTAATCAATCTTGTAAGCATTTAGCACCCTAAAATACTGAAACATTCAACACTGAGAAATGAACAACTCCTCACAAACTGGCATCTGGAGTCAAACAGCAACATCAACAGAACCACGTGCCCCAAGCCCACATTTTAATTTACAGGTGATAAACTGCTTGAGTTTATTTCAGGGTCTCGCCACCTTCCCTGCCCTACCAAAGGCACAGGCTTAAAATCGTGTAGCACAAGGTAGCCTTTTGGCCCATCGAACCTGTGCCAGCTCTGTGAAAGAGTTGGCTAATTCAAACCACACCCTCATAACTCTACAAATATTTCTCCTTCAAGTATGGTATTCAATTCTCATTGGGAGGTTACCACTACATCTGCCCTCACCCACAAGCAGTACAATTCTGATCATCACAACCGGTTGAGCAACAAAAGTTATCTTCTCCCCTCTGGCACGTTAGACAAATAGCTTAAATCTGTCCCGTTGATTACTGGTCTTCTGTCAGTGGAAACAGTTTCCTTATAATGACTTTTAGAACCCTTCACAACTCTGAACAGTCTGATTAAGTTTCCCCTCAATCATCTCTGCTCAAAGGAGAATAATCCCAGTTTCTCCCTCTCAGCTCTAATTTGTGGAGGAGGGCTGATTGCTACCACCACTTGTGTGAATAACATCAGATACCATCATGGTGTGGAGTTCAATGAGTAGTTCGGCTGGATCTATTCTTCAGTCAAAGCAACATGTCGGCAGTAAGTGCAGGAAACATAAGGATTTATGGTGGAGAATCTTTTTTTAAACAGACAACTGACTTTGCTGCACCTCAGACACACTGATGGGTGTCTGGATTTTACTTTTCATAATGTGCACACAGAGGCTGAACCAGCTGTCAGGACACACAAGACAGAAAGAAAGAAATGAGCGATCACCACAAGGACAGGAGATGGGATATTCCTAACAGAGATCAAGGAAACGGGAAGATGATGGCAATCAGCCTTTGACTACAGAAGGTCTGTGTCCTTGGGGCAGAGAGATGGACAGGGTAAAACCATTTAATCTGGGAGGGGTCAGGCAATCAGCAACATGGGGTCATTAATTTAAAATGACCTTAAGAGATTGAAATAAGGATATATTTTCTTGTACAGCAGCAGCATGAAATTTTTTGCCACATGGAATATTGGAGGAAAATATCATCTTATTGCTCAAGGAAAACTTTTATAAATATATGAATCAGAGACAAATGTAGGACTAAAGAGAGATCAGTGAGGCACTGAAATTATTCTTGTATTACACTCGCAAAGAGATGGTGAGCCAGATAGCCACCACTTGTACTAGAAGCCTCCACAATTCCAAAATCTTCAGTTTACAACAGGTACTGATTTAACTGTCATTAAACTACTTGTTATTTTACTTCTCATTACTTTGTTGATCATCCCTTGTTTCATTGATTCAGTGACCCACTGGTACCAGGCACCACTCTTCAGCTACAAACCTCAATAGTGAATGTAAGCAAAACATTCGGCTGTGAACTCCCTCACTCGATCTCCAAACAAACCCCGACCCACCCCCAAACTCACCTGATCTCCAGCCAAATACCACCCCCGCCCTCAAACTCACTCGATCTCTAGACAAACCACACCCTTCCCCAACCAGACTCGGGACTACTGCATCTACCCCCCACCCCCAACTCCGGGTGACAGCCCTGCCCGAGATCCCAAGAGCAGTGAGACCACATCATACTTACTTTGGATTGGTTATTTTTCAGCCTGTGAGCTTCATCAACAACAAGACATGCCCAGTCGATGGATCCCAGGATCGTCTGATCAATGGTAATCAACTCATAAGATGTGAGCAGGACATGAAACTTTATTTGTGCCTCGCTCTGAAAACAGAAACATTCCGTCTTGTTATTACCAATCTCAAACACACTGGTTACTCAGCAAGAGGCCCCTGGATAGACAAATCAGACACATCTGTAAGAACTGAAAACACTGCACTGACTTCAGAGGCACAGTGTAATACTTTGCAAACTATGAATTTCTAGCATTACCAAAAATCATCTTCATTCTTAAGTAGAACTTCATGAAGCTAACAAGAAGAAATAACACTGCTTTGCCTTTCATCGCTCTCACATCTCCTCAAAGTAGTGGGTAAAGTCATCTTCTAATTTTGATCGGAACAGCCATTTTGCATTCATGAAGAAGCGAGCCAGCAGGCTATCAGTTATAGAAGGCATCACAGCCAGGCCCTGACCTGCCCCACATAAAGAAGTTCGTTGGATAGTGACCAACAGCAAGAACCTCAACATATTTTTCCTTACCTTATCCATAGTACTGTCCCAATCACAGATCCCAGCTGAGTCAGTCAACTCCACATAAAGAGACAAAACCTGAAGTGACCTAATCTATCGGGCTCAATGCCAAAACCAATTTGCTAACTGAACCCATTAGAGAATCGATACCGTGACTGCAGTACAGAAAAACTCAAAGCTTTGTTGAATGCACCTTCCAAATCCTCTCAGATACAAAGGAACAGTACCAACTCAGATTCCCTCCATCCCAATTTGGAAATACATCGCTGTTCCTTCGTTATCACTGGGTCAAATTCCTGGAACTTGCTAATTCGCTTCTGTAAAAATACTTTCACTACACAGAGTGCAGGGTTCAAGGAGACGGCTCACCACCAAACAGCAAACAGCAAGGGCAAATGGAAGTGGACAAAAATCATCCACCTTGTCAGCGCCACATTCTGAGAATGAACAAAGAGAGGGTCTTGCGCAGAAGACTAGATACTCACCTTCATCCTGAAGGTTTTTCTCCCACCCTTGATTACGTTATCATCGAAGCAAAACTCGTTCTCTCGGATGACAGCTCTGCAGTCTTTGTCTCCCGTGTAAGTCACCACATAGAAGCATGGTGCCCATAGCGTGAACTCCCGCTCCCAATTAATAATAGTGGACAATGGAGCACTCACTAGGAAAGGTCCCTTGGAGTGGCCCTGGAAAACAGACAATACATCTTTTCTGTTAAATCCTTGTCAGTGTTGTTGCTGATTACTACAGTGAACTGACTAGACCTTGCTATCCATGAGTCATCACAGACAATTAAATCCAGGGCAAAAATAGAGCCGGCAGCCATTTTGTTGTCAAGACAGAGTCATAGAGTCATAGCAATGGAAACAGACCCTTTGGTCCAACCAGTCCATGCCAACCATAATTCCAAATTAAACTAGTCCCACCTGCCTGGTCCTGGCCCATATCCCTCCAAACTTATCCAAATGTCTTTTGAACGTTGTAACTGTGCCCACATCTACCACTTCCTCAGGATCTGCTCAATATTTTTAGTGTTAGGAATCAAAGCAGGTGACAAGAGACAGAGCTCAAAAATATATTAAATTTGGTCAATGAGCAATCTTTAAAGAGATCATTTAAACTTTCACTACAACTATGAGCAGCAAATCAAGTCTAATTACATAAACATTAAATAGAAAAAGGCTAAATTATTATTGTCAGTAAAGCAGTAGACAATAAGCTCACAAACACGAACGGCTACTTAGTACATTTACAAAACAGTTATCAAAGAGAACCTTCCCTCAGCATGCTAATTAGCTAGGACTGGAGAATACAAAGGAGTTATTGAAAATAAAATTAGACATGATGAGATGTAGCCAAGAGGTCAACAGTGATGAGACAGTCAACATCCTAGAGAGAACTCCTTCAAGGGCAAGTTAATTTATTGGAAGAATGAGCTGAAAAGAAACAGTGATACCGCTCTCAAACCTGGGACAGAACTTGGACTCTCATTCACCCAAACATGTGATCACAGCTTCTCACACTAGCCTGGATCTTGGGTACCAACCACAGCCACGAACCTATCCCCGTCCCAACAACTCCAGCCCCAAATGTTCCTCACCTCTTTGAACAGCGAATACAGAAATACAATCGTTTGAACGGTTTTCCCCAATCCCATCTCATCAGCCAAAATTGTATCAGTGCCCTGCGCCCAAGAGAAACGTAGCCAGTTCAGGCCCTCCAGTTGGTAAGGGTGGAGGTTGCCTCCTGTGGCATCAATGTACTCTGGTTGCTTGTCAAACTTCACAGTTGGCTATGGTGAGAAGAAAAAGGATACAATCATTCCAGCACATTTAATACATAATCAACTGAGATTAACTACAACCCACTAAAGATCAAACAGCCCTGTTCAGTAAATTCCAGCAAACAGCCGATTTCAAGTAAAATGACAGGATGCAAGTCCTCTCCGGTCACTGCCTGCAAGAATGTGTATCTAACCCGGTGCTCTACCTGTCCTGGAAATGTTTGACGGAGAGAGATTAGAGGGAGCTTTGCTCTCTATCCGACTGCATGCCATAGCTGGCCTGGCATTGCTTGGGACAGAGTAAAGTGAGCATTACTCTCCATCTAACTGCACGTCATACCGTCCTGGAAGTGTTTGCAGTGTAGAGGAGGCTTTCCTGTGTCACCAATCCCATCAGTGCAGAGGAAGATTAATTCTGTATCTGATTACACCAGGTCTGCACCAACAAACTCTGCTGGTCATCACTTACATCAACCACAGGCTGTGCTGGAGGCGGGTCAAAGACCAATTCCCTGGCTTTACGTCCTTTTTTCAGTTTTCTCACTGGTCTTAAATCTTCTCCCAAAATCAATTGCCTGCACAGAGAGAAAAAAAGAGAAAAAAAAAAGAGAGAGAGAAAAAGAGAAAGAGAAAGAGAGAAAGAGAGAGAGAGAAAAAGAGAAAGAGAAAGAGAAAGAGAAAGAGAAAGAGAGAAAGAGAGAGAGAGAGAAAGAGAAAGAGAAAGAGAGAGAGAAAGAGAGAGAGAGA